TTAAAAGTTGGTTCAAATGTTGATCAAATATTGGGTCAAATGTTGGCTGAGTTGTTGGGTGAATTGCTGAATCAATTGTTGGGCCGTTTCTGAAGGCTCTTATACACCTATTTCAAAAAACGTTGTCATCGCAAAAGACGATAGGCAATAGGCGAAAAGCGATAGGCACTCCAATTTCAAGATCCAAGAATAGCTGGAATGACTTGTGTTTCTGCTTCTTATTCTTGTCAAGGACATGGACCTTAGTGTTGAGACTAATTAGATATTATTTGTATTCAACGAAACCATTTCSATGTCGGAATGATCCTTTGGCGTTAAAAAAGGTTTTTGAAAGAATAGGTGTGTATATGCAATAAAGGCTCCATTATTACCGCCCCTTGCTTGAGTAGTTAATATTACAACTTTTGTGCTTACCATARCTCTCAAACAGCAGTGATTTGGCCGTAGTCTTGGTGCCTGTTTCTTCACTTCCGAATAGTTTTTCGAGATCAAAAACAGTGCCTTCTCCCAATCCTCCCGTTCCTCCAGCAGTTGAGCCAACGCCAACCTGTCTTCCGGTAAGGGAAATAGCAGCTTGCCTTTTTATTCTTCTTCCTCTTTTTCCAGGTACGCCGATAAAACGTCCCGTGTTTCCTTCTGAAATCCATCGAACTCTTCCCCCGGGTCCAACTATAGCTGCAAGGCCGGGTCTTCCTTGAGGACCAGTGAAACCTCGTGGACCGCGGTAACCCCGGGGACCTGGGAATCCCCTGGGACCCGGTGAACCTGCTATTGCAATAACTTGGGCTTTGCCAAGTTGTGGTGAAGACACTGCATGGATTGAAAACATTACAAAAATAACATTTATRTAAGTCAAGTGAGATATTAACAGTAAGAAGTAACAGTTAAACATGTGAACTAGTGATCTGTTGCGACCCTTTTCGAGATACGCGAGCGCTGTCAAAAAGTATCGTGTGCTCARATTCRAAAGTTGACGAGGCATTTTCGKGCAAGACTATTACAYTCGCTATGCAAAACACATACGAAACTTGGAAAATTATATTTGTWGGTATAGGAAATCGCAGGATCTCGAGTACAATTCGGAAGTTATAGGTACATACTCGTGATGTTTTGAAAGTTTTCAAAATTGGATGAGCCTTTTACGAGAAGATCGTGCGATTTTTTGTTAGTAATACACTCAACAAAATTGAGCAACTTAATTGGGACTCTATAGATTAGGGATTTAATTTTACTTCTCTTGTCCAATGAGAATCGAGTAGTTTAGTAGATCGAATTATAAACGAAGGAATAATTGAAAGTTTCTTTTAGTTGGGAAGCAAGACAATAAATTTTGTTGGAAAACAAAACTTTAGACAAAATCTTTTTTTCGAGGATTTTAGAAATCACCTTTAACTCTATGGTTTCTAATGATTTAATGTCTGTCATGCGCTTGCGATATTTATTGAAAGCACTCGCCGCATCTCAGGAATCGTCTACTGTACTTTTTAAAAGAGCGGGAAACGATTACTTCCGGTAAACGGCGACACGCGCGCGTACACTTCTATCCTATAAAACGGGCGGGAAACATTCACTTCCGTTAAATGGTTTACTTTATTTATCTACCAAAAAGCCTGGAAATTCTTCGACTTCAGTTTGCTTTTATGTAGTATATACTCGTTAAACTCGTTAATTAACTCACCTAAACCACTCTTTAGCCTTTTATCCAGAGCTTCCTGAACTTTGGATTGAATAAATTCATCCAGTTGTTTACTTTCGGTGATCTTAGTACCTTTGTGAATTAAGAAAAATTGTAATTTTTTCATCATACTTGCAGGGCACTGAGGGCACGCGTACGCGGTTGATGTTAGATATGTTAGATAACTCACTGGGTTAAAACGTCACACTCTTTAAATAAAGTTTATTTATTGATTGATTGATTGAATAACCTTTTGCACTTTATATATTTCTTTATGAATCTAAAAAACAACACCAGTAGCTATTACCTAGTAAAGTTTTCAACTTGTGATTAACGTAGGAATCTATGTAGTTTCTGGCCGCTGTGCTTACTTCACGTCCAGCACCTGCAAAAACAAAACCATTGAATTCAACTATACGAATTTACTTTTTATTTAAAAATCTAGAGAAACACCTACTAATAAGGTTGAAGCTTCCTCTATCAATTGTCAAAGTCCCTGAACGAAATAATAATAATAATAAGTTCTTAGATCAAAGATGAGTTAATATTCGGTCGAATAGAATCGTATTTCATTCCATACCAAGATCGAGTGATCCGTTGATAATCCTGCGACCCTGTGCGTCAATGGTGATGTTTTTGCCATTATCTGAAAATAAGTATATGACCAGTTATTTGATCGAAAAGCGAAGGCCACGGTTCAGCAATGCCAATCACGCCAGCTTAGGAAGCCAAATCTTCCCTACTTCCCTACGTTAGTCAAATGCTCTCCTTTATGGGAAGGGACAATTCACCAAACAAAAATGCTTGCACCTGAGGGCGTATGCTCCCTTTGAAAAAGCTAGACAGCCTCGTCCAGTTCAATGCTCCCCTCTGGGGAAGGGACAGGAAGTCAAATGCTCCTCCCTGAAAGGGTACAGTCTCAGTCGGAAATCGGGGACGAGAAAACAAATGTTTTCTAGTTGTCAAAGTAGGTACTTACTTTTAACGCATATGATTTGTTTGTTCGCCTTAAAAAGAAAACAAGGGAGAAAAAAATGAGAATTGAACGTAGAGTGTAACTGTTAATGTGCGCATGCGTTTTCAACGTATTTCAAGTGGAACATTTTTTTTCGTAACGTAAACGAATATGGAAAAGATAAGGGTTTTCATTAAAACACAGTGCAGGGTAAGATTTTATAGTGGGAATATAAAAATAATTGATCGACAAAGCAAAGGCAGGAGAAACAAAATATATATTTATTCCGACTTCAAATTATAGAATGGGCTAGGAAAATATTAGGAACCATATGAACGCGCATGCGCACCAAAGAATGCTATGATTGTGTTTTCTCCTTTGATAGGAAGGCTGTGTTTTTATCTTAACGGCGGAAGCCTAAGGGAGAGGTTAGTCGGCCCCTAGACCGTAGATGATTAACCCCTTGCTATGACCAGCAAACCCAATAAACCTCTTGCGTTGCTGACGAGTAAGCTTCCAAGGTCACTCTTTTCCATGTGGGATGCATTTCGAAAAACTAGCTATATATGACGTTGACTCAAACTTTGGGGGAGTTGGGGGGGGATTAAAAGTTGGCTTTTATTTTCTTTTGATATTGACATGAGCCAATTTAAAGGATATCATTAATAAWAAAAAAAGTCAAAAACTAGAATAAAGAAGTGGCCGGGAATGCAAATGCACTCCCTACATGCGTACTGAAGAAGTAATATAGGATAAATAAATCACTTTGATTAACGTCGATATGTACAATGAGCCAAAGACTTGTAGTAATTACATTCGAACAATGTACAAGTAATATAAATATATGGAGTGCAAACAATCCGTGAAACACTAATTACTAAATAGTACAAAATAGTCCTAATTCAACAATAGAAAAACAATAGAATTTACATAAAAATGCACTATTTAGTATTACTAAAGTTTCACGGATATATTGTTTGCACTCTAGTTTGGACATGCGGTAAAAAAAAAAAGTTTTTAATAGGTTTTTTCATAACCTGTCCTAATTAAAAGTTGAACGGGTTGTTCAGCTTTCTGACATGAGAAAAAGTAATCAGCGCCCGTAAACACTTTAAAATCCCATCCGTCTTAGGCTCGATGACAAGTTATAATGTATTAAAGGATCTTATAATTTTGACCTTCTCACATGGCATCAAGCGCCGCTGCTTCGCATACCACAAAAGAATAATCCATATTAGTGGCTATCAGTTTACGTCGAACGACTCGTCAAAACAACAATCTTGTACGCCGTTTTTCCAACTAAAAGAAATAGCATTCCTTTATTGATAATGATAAAATAATTCATACCTGAATGATTCTTTTGCAAGATGTTGTCAGTGGTTTCTGCGACACGGCATTCCAAAATTCTCGTACATCAATGAATGCGGTTAGTTCGCCTCCAGACTTGGTTGGCCTGGAAGTTGTTGGTGCTGCTGTCGTTGCTTGAGTAGTTTTTGGCTTTGTTGTGGTTGTTACTTTGGGTCTGATGTTTCTATTCTGTTGTAATCTGTTTCGTTGGTTTTGTAGATTCCTATTCTGCAGGTTTCGATTCTGCAGATTTCGATTCTGTTGGTTCCTATTCTGCTGGTTTCGATTCTGTTGGTTCCTATTCTGCTGGTTTCGATTCTGTTGGTTCCTATTCTGCAGATTTCGATTCTGTAGATTCCTATTTTGCAGATTTCGATTCTGTAGATTTCTATTCTGCAGATTTCGATTCTGTTGATTCCTATTCTGCAGATTTCGATTCTGTTGATTCCTATTCTGCTGGTTTCGATTCTGTTGATTCCAGTTCTGTTGAAATCTGTTTTGCTGATTCCTATTTTGTAGATTCCTATTCTGCTGGTTTGTGTTCTGTTGATTTCTGTTTTGTTGGTATCTGTTTTGTACATTCCTATTCCGTTGGTTCTGATTTTGTTGATATCTCGTCTGCTGATTGTTTGCATTTTGTAATCTTGTATTCCTCGTGTTCTGGTTTCTGGTATTCCTATATCTATTCTGATATTGGGTATTTCTATAGTTATAACGCGGGTTAACCTGTCTTTTGGATCGCCCATACACTCGTTCCTCCACTGACGCATTACCAATGACAGTGCCGTCTTGCTCTCCAAGGTAGATTCCTCGAATGATATCCAATTCTTCCCTAAGCTCTGTTAGCTCTTTATTCTGGTGCAATAAGAGCAAAGACAAAGCCAGCACCGAGATCACCATGAAAGCAAAGGTGAGTACACTGAAGTAAACATGCATACTTTGATACGTTTTCTGTTTCTTTTGGGATTCCATGTTGCTGACGATCTTCTCACAAGCAAGGAGAAAGAAGCAATGCTGCACGTCTGCAATGTTTCTGTTATCGTGTTACAACTTGATAAGCAATATAAAGACCCATTGATGTCATTGAGACGGAGATTTCATAGGCAAGGTCATCAACATCAGGTTTCATTCAAATCCAAAACACATATAGAAAGTTCTCGTACTGTCGATATATCCCGCCCCGGGCGATATATCTTGAGGTGAGGTACAATTTGGATGCACGCCAGGCATTCTCCAGTATTGACAATGCAGATGTTCAGGATCAACTTTAACTGTGTTTCATCAATAGCTACTAGATCATGGTTTGCCTGTCGAATGAGCTTGCATGGGGGAGAATGTATTGGAAGACACCACGCCTACGCGCCAATAGATGGCGGTTTGCAGGCATCATTCTCATTCTCGGACCATTAGTAAATTCATAGGGAGGGGGGGGGGGKGAAGGGTTTGCGTAAATCCGCAAAAAATACCGAGCAAGCACTTCGCCTACGAAAAGAATATCGCGCAACCTCTCCTTTCAGTGAAGAAACTGAGCAAACACACACAAAAAGATTGAGTGCAAGAGTTATTACAAAAAATATATATCGTGCAACATAAATTCCTGAAGCCTCCCCCTCAATTATCTAATGGACTATCCCTTTATGATAGAGTCAAATGACAAAGCTATGGCCGAGAAGTCTTTTGTTAAATCTAAAAAAAAAAATTCTGATGCCTGGAACAATCGATTAGCGAAAAAAAGAAAGTATGCTCGCCGTTGCAACACAAATTTAAAAAATTCATTAATTATGGTGTCACTGTTATCAAGCGCTTAGGGGCAGGTCAAAAATTAGAGGGGGGAGGGCTGGTGCAAATGGGGGGAGGGTCATTATTTTTCATGCAGTCTAAAAGGAAGGGCCAGAAAGAATTGTGTAAGTCTTAAGGGAAGGGCCAATTTTTTTTGTGAATAACAATTAGGTCAAAAGAAATGTAAAAAATGAATTATGACACAGAAGAGTTTGATAGTAAAATGATAACTACCGTGACAGCAAGATCGGGAAGACGTGCAAGGTTAGCTTCAATATTATAAGTTATGGGGGAGGGGAGGGTCAGAAAAAATTGTGCAAGTATTTAGGGGAGGGCCAATATACAGGCCAAAAATAAAATGCACCAGCCCTCCCCTCCCCCCTCTAATTTTTGACCTGTCCCTTATTTTCAAGAGGAAAAGTGACACCTCAGCTTTGAACATTTTGTCGAGTGATGAGATCGGCTGACTGACCACAGGAAGCCCATAAGCATYATTTTTTTTCATTTAAAAATCCGCTGTCAACCACTGACAGTCGGCTCATAAAACATGGCGGATAGCTTGGGGAAGAAGTTCCACGATGCCGATGTCTGAATTATTTGCTTCTCTAGGAAGCAACCCTTACTTTTCTGCAGGATTTGGTCTAGTTGGAGTCGGTGCTGTACTAGCGGGCGTAAGAAAGGGAGGTATTCAAGCTCTAGTCGCTCTACGACGCTACGCTCTTATTACGTTGGAAGTCCCTTCAAAGGACAAAAGTTATCATTGGGTGTTACAATGGATCACAGCACAAGCAAACAGAGCTCAGCATATCAGTGTAGAGACGACATTCAAACAGCATGACACTGGTAGAATCACTACCACCTATGATTTCGTTCCAAGCCCGGGGACACACTTTTTCTATTACAAGAGGAACTGGATTCGTGTTGAACGCACCAGAGAAAAAATGGTGGACTTAACTACTGGTGCTCCTTGGGAAACGGTGACGTTGACTGCGCTCGGGAGAGACAAAAAAATATTTAATGATCTACTAAATGAAGCTAAAACCATGGCTTTGGCTAGGACGGAGGGAAAGACTTTGATGTATATCCCAATGGGAGCTGAGTGGAGGCAGTTTGGCTTCCCCAGGAGAAAACGACCTCTGGATTCAGTTATCCTTGACGAGGGGTTGAGTGAGAAGATACTGAATGATGTCAAAGACTTTAATACTAATTCTAAGTGGTACACGGATAGAGGTAAATGGTTAAAATATACAAGGCTCCGAAATATATTTTTGATACTAGTAAGCAGGTCATTTGTCAGGCCACAGGCATATTTGAACAGTCAAAACCCAGGTATGGCTKGTCAAATCTCTGTAAGCAGGTCATTTGTCAGGCCACAGGCATATTTGAACAGTCAAAACCCAGGTATGGCTGGTCTGACCAAGGCAAATCATTTTCCAGTCAATTGGTTGTTTTTACCAAACATTTGTCCAATATCTTATTTCACAGTCTTGCATATAGGTAGCGTGTAATCTGACGGTAGGGAGGAGGAGGTGGGGTGTAATTTAAGTGAGAATATATTTGACGAGGGAAAGGGGCAAGGAGGGTCTGAGGAGGGTATATTTAGCACCAGAAAATATCCATACATCTGCCATGGAGAGGGATTGGAGCACTTCGGAATGCAGCTCAATTTGGAGAACATAACAATAGGTTTCCAATTCTCAGGAAAATTTTTTGTTTTGTCCTTCAAATAGAGCTGCTTTGACATCACATGCAATGGGTCTATAAAGTAGTAGCAAGTATAACACCAATGAACCTATGTGGTGGATCTCTTGATATGGAATAAGGGACTGAGATAATATGATTGAATGTATTCACAGGGATCCCATACAGAAGAGGATACCTATTGTATGGTCCACCTGGCTGCGGAAAGAGCAGTTTTATGTAAGTATAAGATCAGAAACTGTTATAATAACTGTTATCATATGCAAATATAAGGTATAGATATTACCAGGCCTTTAAATAACAGCCTAATAATAATCTTTATTGAGATAACTTTTTTATAATTATGATTTTCAAAAAGGAACTCAGTCGCTGGTCATGGTCACAGGCCAAACTACTTTTAGCTAAGTCATACGTTACTGGTCAAAATGACCGGCAAGGCAACAATAATGATCAGACAAGTCCCAGTTCTTGCCAGACATTGTCCAATGCTTAGCTGTTTTTTAAGCCAATGGATACATTACAGAAATGTGGCTTCTTCATGTAACAGACACAGTTTACACGATTCAATAGAAACAGCAAAAGACCCAAAGTTATACTAACAATAGAACAAAGCTAAGAAAGAATACAATAGGCTTACAGTGCATGCAGAAGGACTCAAAAATGTGATGTTGTCTGGTGTCTGCTAGACCTATTTAGCTTTGATGTTTGTTGCGCATATTTCATACCATGTGATGCCACTCTTGGGAGTTGATTCTTTCATGGGTACATGTAAATATCTTAACATGTTTGACATAAAAGAATAATTCTCAAGGAAAAGTTATGTGCTCTGAAATTGGCAATTTGCATACGAAACTAAAACGGTCTGTTTTGGGACTAAGCCATTAGCTGTCCATTTAATGAAGGGTGTGTTTAATGTTTGCTCTTAGTCAAGCCCTTGCTGGTGAGTTGGACTACAGTATCTGTGTAATGAACCTGAGTGACCGCAGTCTGTCAGATGACAGGCTCAACCATTTGATGAGCGTCGCTCCACAACAAAGCATCATCTTACTGGAGGATATTGATGCAGCATTTGTCAAGAAAGACGATTCAATGGATGGGAGCAAAAGAGAAAATGTGTATATGAATCGGGTAAGTTTTTGTGTTGGTATTTGTTTAAAATGTGAATGAAGAAGAGTCAGTCTATCAGTTGTGCATTAAACTTGATTTTTTATTACAAATTTAGTAGAAAATGAATCCAGAAAATGAGCTATGAAACCCAGGCACTTAAAACTATAAATATTTTTTTCAATAATCATTTCTTATTGTCCATTTATGAATGTCAATCAAAGTGCTTCCAAAACGTTGTCAGAAAACACAAAGTTTTCAAGGGCACATGTCATAAAAATGCCTCAATTGAGGTAGATTAAAACTTACTGTACTTTGTTGCGATGATGATTCAATGCATACTACTGCAAATAATTAATATCAATCTTCAAACCTCGATAGAAATGCATGCAAGATTTTGACTGCACTAAAATCAATTACAATTAAAAATCAAGTCAATTACATGGGGAGTGGTTGTCCAACCTCCCGAGCCAGGGGCTTATATTGAAGTGCTTCACCAAAATCAATAGAATAGAATAATTTATTTAATGTCAGTAGCACAGGAAGCAGTTATCCAATCTCTCAAGCCAGGGACTCATGTTGAAGCGATTGACAAAATCCTTTATTTTAGGTCACCTTCAGTGGATTGTTGAATACTCTTGATGGTGTAGCATCCACCGAGGAACGCATTGTTTTTATGACAACCAATCACATTGATAGACTTGATCCAGCCCTGATCAGACCTGGTAGGGTGGATCTTCAACTAGAAATTAGCTGGGCCTCTGAGAGCCAAATAACCAGGATGTTTGCTCGATTTTACCCTGAGAAACCCAAGTCCCTAGCGATTAAATTTGCTGATAAGATTATAGAATCTGGTGGGAAGAAAAGTATTGCTCAGTTGCAAGGACATTTTATGATGTTTAAGAATGATCCTGAAGGAGCGGTGCTGAATGCTGATAAGATGTGAGCTCTGATAAATATAGTTGAGACCTTAAAAACACAGGCACAAAACAAGACATCATGAGAATGATCCTGACGGTGCAGTGCTGAATGCTGATAAAATGTGAGCTCTGATAAATATAGTTGGCATCTTAAAGGGGCACTTGGATGAAAATGGATAAAAATTGGAAAAGACTTTAAACTTAGTTATAGTTATCTATATGGCCCATATAGTAGCCAAGCAACGTATTTTCTTCACAATAAAATGTCTCAGATAAAAATTATCAATTTTATTCAGCATCTAAATTGTGAGGAAATGACGTCATTTACTCAACCCTATTGTTCTTTTCTCTTTTAATCCAAAATTTCTCAACTGCAAGTGGCTCCAAGGCTAAATTTTCACTAATCTGGTTTACATATTCATAATTGAGTCATATTATCCACAAATACTTCAATTATTCGGACTTTGAAAATTTGGGGCGTTTTCATCCAAGTGCCCCTTTAAAGACACAGGCCACAAAAAAAGACATCATAATCGATTTGAATGTGCTCTTTATTCACTCTTATTTACTCATTACTGTAACCAATGTTATCTATACTAAATTTTATCTTAACCATTCCATTTACGGCTTTACTTTAATTAAGGCCAAGTTTAATTTTAATTTTTAATTTTAAAATGCGTTGTACTGTATCATGACGCATCTACTACTACTACCAGACTTTTCATACTTGATAAAAATGTGGGGGAGGGGGGAGGTTTTAAGGGAATATTGTTTAGATATGGTAAGTGAAAACACGACTGGAAATCCTTCTCATCTCATAGATTAAAGTGCTCTGAAATCTTAGGGCTTATTATATTAGGAGTAAAACACACAAATCAAGCTCAAGGTAAGAATTTCATTCGAAGGGCTTTATGATACAGGACATTACGTTTCTGGAAATCCAGTTAAGGGACCATTAAGGTAGAACAATGGGAAAGTGACAACAAGGATTCTGGTATTTGCAGTATGGTGATGTCATCGTGAAGTTGCCCTGATTTAAGAGTAAATAGGTAATGACCTCCACTTGTTCAAGTTCATTGAATATCTTAGGAGGGTAGAGCATGCCACGGGCTTCTTTTGCCGCCTCAGTGCCCAACGTTGAATACGGCGAATACCATCACTGTTGCGACAGATGACGTTCGACAACCTCACTTTTCGGATCTCTTTCAACTGCCTAGCTGTAAATACTCCTGGGTTCTCGTACCAAAACCGATCACCGCGTCTCAGGCGTTGGAATTGATCAGCAAGTATGAAGCTGAATACTCTTCCCAGAACTGCACCTCGTAACGGCTTCTCGTACAACCCACCCACAAAGAGATCAATATCATCTGGGTGTTTGTAAACTTTCTTCAAAATCCTCAATCTAACCAGTGGAATGGAGGTTCTCCGTTGTTGAAAGCTTGTGATTTTTTTCAGGCCAGCCCATTTTCGATACTCGTTGTAGCCAGGTATGCCACGTTCTCTTGCTCGCTGGATGTTCAAGGCCGCTAGATCAGCTAAGTCTCCTGGACCACGCACAAGCTGTTCCTGAACTGCTTTGGCGAAAAATCTAAGAGGGACAACAAATTGAAATTTTTTCAGTCATCAGTACTGGCTAAATTTTTAGAGTTTTACCGTGTGACTATGATTTTATGACTAGCACCGTGTGATTATGATTTTGGCAGGGATACTCGATCACGGCGTTATATGAAGCAGGAAGTGATTGCTCAGTCTCCGGAGCCATAGGCTAATGAAAAGCGCTCGAAACCGAAGCGTAATTTGAAAATGATTTTGGCGAGGGAGAAAAACCGGAGAACCTGAAAAAACTGCAGGAGCAGAGAAGAGAACCAGCAACTAACTCTACTCACGTGGTGGCAGGAGACCAACCCACGAGCACAGTGGTGACGGAGGTGGTACATTAGCAGCAAAATGCTAATGTTTTCGCGCTACGGATTTTCGCGCCAAAACCTTAACTTCTTTGATGTTTTAGGCTCAAATTACTTCTTACCTGTCAACTTTTTGCGACCTGTCCTTCGCAAGGCCTCGTAAAATAGAGTCTATTCCCCCCTTGTTTGTCTGGTAGAGGAAGGTTGGGTCAAGGAACCGGTTCATTGAGATAGAGGGATTGATCTTCCGGTAATTCCTGCCAAACCGGTTAAGCTTGTTTTGGACTAGACTATGTCCAAAGCGATAGGCGGCCGCGGCGAAGGAATTAGAGATCGTTGCATCAATAATCGGGTTGTATCCATAATAAAACGCTTTCGTTTTCCGAACCAGGTCAAAAGCGTTTCTCTGTGGAATAGAGGTCCAATTTTAGTTTCATTCTAGTATTGCTAGTATTGAACTATCAATCACGTGACTTTTTGGAGTTGACTGGGGGGCAAACAAGCGGTTAGCTGAGGGGCAACTAGCGGATGTTAAGTAAAAAAATATCAAAATAAGTCCTCAGACTATTGTATTTGACTATTTTCACGACATCAAACCAGAAAACAAGAGATCAAAACAACCTCCAGGATTCTACAAGCCAATAAACATGCGGCTATTACCGGAAGTGACGTCTACTAATAGCAACCTATTACAAATAAATATAGTAACATATTATAGTTCATGAGAAACGGGAGCCCTTTTTAGTGTTTTCCCATTTCAGACCACGTGTCATATTGAAGAATTTAAAAAACGCGTATGTGCCGTGTGTGATATTTCAAAGGCAACAATAAGGACTGGACGCAGTTATAAAGCACGCAGGGTTTGGCAGAACACGAGAGAAGTGTTAGGAGAAACAAGGCTTGTTGTTCGTGCTGTGTGCTCTCATACTTGGGAAACGCTCCCAACCAATCAGAACGCGAGATTAAGGCCCCGTCCACACGTATCCGCAAATTTTTTTTTCGGATACGAAAATGTTTGCGTCCACACGTAGCGTATTCGGATCGTTTTCACCGTCCACACGTATCCGTTTTCGTAAAATTTGCGTATACGGACACAAAAATTTCCGGATACGTGTGGACGGGACCTTATAAAAGCTATCGTTTCAACCTTTAAACAAAGAAATGATACTCTAGGGAATGACATGTGGACTGAAATGGCCAAAACAAACGCCCAAGGTAAAAAGGTACATATATCCACCAAGTAACATACTGCATAATATACCCTCCTCAGACCCTCCCCACCCCTTATATAATTTGATCGATACTGAAAAAACCCTTAATCTATGATCAACCTACCGTTCTTCGGTTCAGTATGAGAGGCAAGAGCTCGTTGTAGGTGATATGCTGTACCATGGCACCGACTATTTTACGCGTTTCATAGAAAACTGTGTCTGCTGTCCAGTGGGAGTTCTTTTTCTTCAATTCAGTAGCGATGCGGTTGTGTTCTCGAAGCCATATCGTGTGCATGGAGCCTAAGCCTGAAAAACGTGGCAAAATAAATCATTGTTTTAGTATTTTTAACACAAGTGAATATGATAAATAAAGGAGAGAGAGGATTTTTTCAATGTTATTTATCTCTGCAAGCCAAGAGTGCGCGTTCTATTCACCTGTGGTGGAATATAGCAGCATAAGACGTACATTGTGACCAATGAGCGCGCAGGATTTTTTAATATTCACTCGTGTGTAAAAATACTAAATGGTAATATATGGGTAGCTCCTTTTAAAACTGATTTTTAATACTGTGAATGAATATTGGTACCTTTGCGTACTCTCTACTTTTTTTTTGTTGTTTTGTTTTTTGTTTGTTTGTTTGTTTTTTTTKGKTTKKTTTKKTTKKTTKKTTKKTTTTTKTKTTTTTGTTTTTTGTCTTCATTGGATGAATAAAGATAATCGAAGACCATACTCCCAGGCCTTGAATGCTAAAGCGTTGTATGGTAGCGTTAAGCATTTACGGCTACGCCGATAGGACTAGCTATTTGTCAATTCAAATCAAAATCGTTGTTAGAAAAAAAAAATGTTACGAGCCACTTTAATTTTAGATACTGACTCGTGAATGACGTAAGCTTACGTACCTGGATTTTCATTGGTTCTTTCATCTCCAGCCTTGAAACATGGCATCGTTTTCACGTTCGAGGTTCGACAGAAGCCCCCAATTTGTTTAGGCAACAAATTCTTAAAACTTCTGCCCTTGGGATGTTTTCGATCTCGAAGAAAAGGAGTTCCAGAGCGGCGCAGGTCTCGGAAAACCGTCGGGTCATCTCCGTATATCTGCGAGGCATCAATGTATGCAGACTTGAGGTTTACTTGCTCGCGGTATGATAACGTGGAACGTCTTACTACCACTGGTACATCACGCTTAAGCTCGATACAAGTTTTCCCTTTACTTCTGAATGGCTTGTCACCAACAGGAACGGGTATCCCGAAACATTCTCCAGACAAACCGCAGGTCCCGGTGCAGTCGACATCAGGTTGTGCCCCAATAGTGATATCATGATCTAGGAACTGACCCCAGATCATCGCCATGTGTGACATTTTAACTGAGTTGATATTTCTATTCTTGAAGACTATTAAACTGACTTTACGCGCGTTGGGAAGTTTCCCAGAACCCCTTGCGAGCCGAGGCGTGGAAATACAATTTCCATAAGCTGGTCGAATAAGGCGTCTGAAAGGAGTTCGTGCACTCCCCCACTTAACGTGATAGAGATTGTTATATTTGCCAGTGATGGTGCGATAGGTATTGAAATGGCGTTGATTGTGTACGTAATCATTCTCCTCTTTATCATCGTATAGCTGTTGCAGATGATCACTTTGCAGACCCACAAGTGCTTGTGCAGCTTCTCTTTCGCTCAACCTAGATGTATTCCAACTCTTTTAGAAAGCATTGCAGTCATTGCAATCCAGTTCTTATCTCCCTCTCTTCCTTCTTTTCTCTTTTTTGACCTCGCTAGCCCCCAACTCCCCCCTCCACGCTTGCGAATAAAACCAAAAATATCGGCAATGAAAAAAGTTGTATATTTTGATTGTATTGTCATGGAATTAAAGTAAGATTTTGGCGCCAAGACGCGTCAATTTCGCGACCAAAATTCTTAAAACCAGAAAAAGTAAAAAAAGAAAGACTGTAACTAGAACCAATAGACTTGCGCTTGATAGCTAAGTCTCAAGAAAGTTYCCCTCCCACGATTTCATTTTCTCTGGACTCCAATTTCATTTACAAAGTGCAAGAGGGGGGGGGGGGGGGGATTTTCGGAATTGTAAGTAAAAAAATATATGATCTCTTCACAACCTTGAATTTTTACGTGGCCTATTAAAACAGGGTAAATTTAGTTATAAACTTTCTATTTAGCTAATTATTTTGTGGGGCCTTATTAAATGCTATACTTTTTTACGTGCCCCCCATCCCCGCGAAATCCACCAGCCCTTGTATGCCCATAAGAAGTGAACAGACCCATACCTGAGTTTAGTGGCTAGTCGTTTTACAGTTCTCTCCATGACCATGGCGCCGATTCGAGCAGGTTCTAGGTCTGGTACGAATCGTTTGTAATGTGACTGTAAAGCGACGCTCTTTTGACGAGGAGTACGTTTTTCATCCTCTTCTGTCTCTCTCTTAGCTTCATCGATCGCTTCCGTCAACATCTTGTCGGTGAGGCCAGGAACATCTTGCACTGATTTGAGCTTTATTTTCCAGTCTGACACAGAACCTAATGGAGCATATAAAAGAACTAGCGCTTACTGGGTGCGCTTGTAGATTTTTAAAAAAAGTTATATAGTGAGAGCATTTAACCCGTGAAATAAAAAATACTAGTCAACGTGTAATAGTCAAATAGACACGAAAGAAAACAATGGAATGAAGGTCTGCTAATGTGCATTAAGCAAATATCTATTATATCTATCATACGTATCCCTAATATTGCACTGGCATATGTTTTTATAGGGCCGTGTGTCTGTCATCCCTCGAGGGATGATTTGGAGTTACATATCGTACTTGGAAATACTGACATGATGCCGAGTTCAAGGAAAATTTAATTTAAAATATTCAAAAATTCCCTTCCTTCTTTTCCTTTCCTTTTTCAGTTCTTCTTTCGTTCTATCGCTCTTTCTTTATTTCTTTCTCCTTGGTTTCACTTGCAGTAATTTCCTGTCTCGAGCGGAATCAGTTCATCAACTATATCACCGGTGTCAAGAGAGCTATCAATAAGAAGTTTCCCTGTTATTTATGCTCTCTACGTGTCCAATAGCATTCTTTCTGGCTGACAGCACATGATGGCCAGTGCTTGACCACTATTTTAAGTTGAAAATGAGATACACAGACCTTAATAGATCGGCTGACTGAAATTCAGCAATGATTTTGCATCACCTTGTATATAGATTAATCAAAAGAAAAAGTTGAAGGGAGGACGACGGCGATTAGTACTATAAAGCTAAAGATACTAGCGATACACATGGTAAGCGATGGGAGACACTCAGTGGTGTTTATTATTATTTTTGTCAATAACACAGGTTATTGATGGGATATTTAGTGTTGCTTGTACTCGACGAAACCATTTAGAAACAACTCGATTATTCGTGTTAAGATGTATTGCCACGGTTCTTTTTGGTCGCATAATCGCGCGCCAATCACCGATCGCCATTCGCAAAAGCCGTTGCACAGTTAGCAATAAACGACGACATCTCAAAAACTCTTTATTCATGTTTCTCCTAAATCTTTACTAACTCACACACACTGTCAGTAGGCTAGTAAGGTAGCTTGTTTGTGTGTTTTGTCATCATGGGGTTCATATAGAATTGAGATTTCATAGTGAAAACGTTTCGCTTCGAAATTCACTGAATAGTCAGGTACTCTAGACGGGTTTGTCACCTGACTACAAGTTTTCAGCATAGGATTATGATTTAATTTGCCACTGGTTTTCTAGCCTTTTCTATTAACAATGCCGATTTCTCCGGACTGATGAGCCCCAGCGACACACTTCCAGGTATCAGGCAGAACGAATTGGCCAATCAGCAAGCGTTTTGTTCGTAGCTCAAGATTTCCTAATATCCAAGTTGTCGGCTCGAAAAAAACACATCTTTAACTCGAAAATAAAAAAATTAAAACACGTCCGTGGAAAGAATTACCAAATATCTTTTAAAGATAGTATTTTCCGTCTTCGTTAGGGGAAAATATTTCCTTTTATCAAGAGATAATAGAAAACACTTGGAAACTTTCGCTGTGGCAAACAATGCATTGCGCACGCGCGTAGATTTCAGATCACGTGGTCTATAATGATACTTTTAAGTTATCGAGCAACCAAATAATACATGTAGACAAAGTTTGAGGAAAATCTATGAGACGGTTTTCAAGGAAACCCACAATCTATTTTTACAACCAAATTAATTAATAAATTAATAATTTGAGAATAATTATTAAAGATTGAACTTCCCTTTCCCAGCAACTTCCTGTCATCGGAAGAGAGAGAAAGGTCAAAACCTCGCAGTTTCGAAAGCTTAAATTGCCCTATTTCACTATGACGTCACTGCTTGTTTATGTGGGTGATAGAATCGCCAAATCCAATTTAAAATTCAACAAAATTTACTCCTAGCGAAACAGTTTAATTTAAAATGGCCTGGTTTTCAGATATAATATGTGTTAATATGTACTAAAAAATATTCTGAGCGTTTGCTGGCTATTCTACTTCTCTTCGTGGATTGATACAGGTTTTAGAACAATTTTCGGTGAATTTGCGTTGATTTGACCCCCTCCGACGACCATGATCCTTTGTGTTTAAACAATAGATTGTTTTGATGTAACGTCATATTGAAATAGGGTAATTGTACTAATTGGCGGTGTTGCTTTGAAAATATTCTGTGACAAATTTAAGGGCATTTTGGGTGTATTTTACTGGTGCTTTTGGAGTTGTTTTTTGCATTTGCTTTACTGTTTTCAAATCCGATCAGATCAATTCTAATCGCCTAAAATATAAATGTCGTTAAGTCTTATAGTTATCGTTAATTACATTAAAAAAGACATTAGAAATTAATCAATAATTTGTTTTGAAAACATCAAAGGCAATTTAGGAAATAATTAAAAATTTTGTTGCAAAAAAAAAGATTCTAGACTTCCTTGAAAACCGTCTTATCTCCTTCGTTTCCCCCAACTTTGTCTACATATATTACAAGTTGAGTACTAGGAAGCTTGAAAGTTTCATTATAAAACGCCTTAATTCATTTATAGCCGGTTAGTTTATAGTTTAGTTTACTGATAATTGATAAGGTATTACATATTTCACATATTTCACATTACAGATGAGTCTATATTATCATTATTATTAATATTTAACATGTATAAATACATAGCTTCCAGTGGCCATTTGGAGAAAAACGGCAGTGCAAAAAAAATCAAGAAATGTTTTGTGAAATCTTCACTTTAAACGATCAACCAAGGGATCGATGCTTGGATGACATGATGCATTTCAGAGCTGTGTCTATGCTAGTACATATTTATTCGCTCTGCTGATTGCTTCAAGTCTCAACATGTTTGAAAATATTATTATTATTTTAATCTCATTAGTAGCTTTTTCCTGTGCATGAGATCAGTCAGTTTGCAACACGACCGCAGTTTTCACCAATCAAATGCGGGTCGTCACCTTCTGCCTTATGCAGGATTGGCTATAGTAAAGACAGACAGACAGACAGACACTAGTTCGATCAAAAACTACCCAAAATTCCGCTTTCTGTTTTCAATCCTACGCCGCGTGAGTCCCGATTAAAATTTTCCGCTTTGACTTACTTCCTCAAAAAAATTCCTTTTACAAAGCCTGGAATAGTATGCTATTGTTATATTATCAAGTAGTGTTTTAGATGAATTTCGTAGAAATGACACCACTTTATCCAGTTCTAGTACCTTAAATAACAAGCTCAATACTTCGGCGTGTGCTAATTTAAATTTGTTCAATTAATTTGGGGTTTGAAGCATTAGTAAAGTGATCTGAAGTCTTAGTTGCCATACACGGCGCAGATGTTTATACATGCATTTTCTTTTTTGTTTTGTTTTGTTTTGTTTTGTTTTGTTTTGTTTTGTTTTGTTTTGTTTTGTTACGAGCAAATTTCAGCTTCTGACAAGTTTTCTTCCTCCTTAAAATGACAGCTTCTAACTGATCCCATTTTAATCGAAGTGAGGATCGGATAAGAGGTTTAGTGTTTAACCATTGATTATCAATAATAATAATAATAATAACTTTATTAATGTCTCTAATTTCTTCTAGCCGGACGGGCACAAGTGCCCTACTAATCGGGGAGACAAAAAGTGCTACTTCCACGAAGAAAAGTGATGGATATCATGGATATATTGATAACATTACAGCAGTTACCTTGAAAATCGTCTTCTTCATCATCAACATCTTCAAGTTTAGGAATTTGATCGGTTTCGTCATCTGAAATTTTAAAAGTGAGTTTCCGTAAGTGCAAAATAAACTAAGATCTAAAGCCTGGTATAAGCTAAAATTTAACCATTTACCTTGAAAACCATCTTCTTGAGAAATATCTTCAATCTTAGAAAATTTATTTTCTTCTTCTGATGAACTAGAAGCACAGAAGGCCGAAGCGATCAGGAGGAGGAGAAGAAATTGAAACCTCATCATGGACCAACAGGGCAACTGGGCGAACGAACAGAAGGGTGCAGGTTTGATCTACTCACGCCTGTACACAAGTCAGAGCAGAACTGGAGGCAGACTGTAAGCTATAACCAATTATAACCACTTGTCACGCCCGGAAATCTATTTCTAAACATAAGAATGACATTAATTAATATTAAAATAACTGACGTCAATCATGTTTTTGATTAAATAAATATGCGGGCGTTTGGAATTGAGTCGATCAGCAATGCACAGTAAAACTATACAAAATTTATTTGTAAACACTTTCTCAGAAAGACTAGACCCTGGTTCCAGGATAAGCTGGGTACCTGGAGGACCTGGAGGACCTGGTTTCAAAATGTATTGAGGATTTAGTTGGTTGAGCTTCCCAAAATACTGATAAAGTATTTCGTGACGTCTCGAAGTAATGATAAACCAGACCCTGGTTGAGACGGTTTACTAGTATCAGAGTCTCTAAGGAGAAGTAAAAATAAGTTGCAAAATTTCGAACGAAAGCGTTCAAAGCCGTTTGTAGGCAGAGCATTTATGCCATACTCATCAAAATCATCGAATAACTTAATCTGGAACTCCAATTCCAGTTCCGGGTCCTGCGTTTTGGCATACGTAATTAGCAAGACATGCAATTTCGCACGGCTCGCTTTAAAATCAAAATGCTTCATTTAAAACGTAAATACAGGCTAATATTTGCTCAAAACCTCTCTCATCATTGCTTAATTATTTTTTAATGAATCGCCATTTTTTTGAAGAAAAATGAGAGAGATTATAAGGCTTCGAACGGCAAAGATCAAACCCTGGAATGTGCGTAGAAAATTATTTATTTTGCTTCTTAAATCAAATAGAATCTTAAAAATTGCTATGTACCTCATGTTCCTTTGTGAGTAGACTTTGAAGTCAAAACAGTTAATATAAATACATAAATATAGGCTATAAGAATATCTATATTGTCAAGTTCCATTTCAAGAGAATACGACGAGTCAAGTTGAATTAATTTGTTTACTATGGCTTATCTTGAAACCTTGTTCTCCTTATCGATCTTCGCTTGTTCGTGCAGAAAATACTAATCGAGTAGATGAATTAATATGAAGAGTTAACCAAAATAAGCTATTGCTCATAAAGTTCATTTCTTCAGTAATTAGTTTCAGACCGGAAGTATTACTCTCATGGAACTTGCCGGATAGGATAGCCTGTGAAGCCTGGCTCTTTGAAAAGGTGAGGGGGACTAAGCCTCTCGACTTGGACGAAGAACAAAAGAAAAAAACTGTACGCGTTGCATTTTAAGACTCGTACGGCGGAGCCTAGGCACGAGTAAAAACGAGGAAACCTAAAAGAGGCAGTCGACATTCTATTTTAGTTTTCTTCATGGGAAAGTCAGACAATGAGTAATGTTTAGGAGTTCTATTGTTAGATTTCTTCATGGGAAAAAATGAACTCATAAATGGTTGGCACCTAAAGATATGATATAGATTGCTTATTGTATAAATATAAGAAATCTCCATAAAAAAGAACCTCGAAGTATTCTAACAAAAATAGAGTGATTATTAGTGAATTGTTGACTAAGTTTTTTGTCATTTAAGCACTCGAACTAGACGTGGTCGAGTTCCTTAGTTTTTACTAGTAATTTAGAAGTTTCAAGGATCTCTTGTTCGTGAAACCACAAGTTTTATCTGCATCTGTAATTTTTTCTTTAGGCCATCCCCATTCTTTTGTTTGTTTCCCGTCGCCCGAGATGTCGTCGCCCGACCGACTAGCTACTCTGATTTTCGAAAATCAGGAAAAAATAAGATATTTTAAGTATAGGAATAAATAGCAAATAAACGATAAAAAATGAAAAAAATAACCAGAGTATTTGTTTAAAAAGGATAAGATCAATAAAAACTACACAAATAACAAAAACGTGTCCCGTTTTTATATGCACTAACAGTGGTTCCTCAGTTACAAGACTGAATATAATCATACAGATAAAAAGTATACAAGAAAAAAAAAACCTCCAAAGGTTTCCCGTTTTGACTTTATTTCTCCTTTTTTTTTTATTCTTTTTTTTCTTTTTTTCCACCGACCCACCCAAGGAAGACTCTATGCGACGGGAAACAAAGATAAAAATGTCAATCTTGAATAACTCACCTTTGTTATTTATGATCTGAAATCAATTATTTTTTCTTGTGAGGTTCGTTCGAGGAACAAAAATTGAAAAAATTCACAAATACTTATGCTTTTCTGCACTCCCCGAAACTACAACACTTTCTCCTCGTAGTAGAATTTTTCAGTGAAGCTAAGAGCTACGCCTCCTTTTACCATTGGCTAATGCCATCCACGTGATAAGAAAGCCGAATGTGATTCGATACGATAGAAAATAATGAGAGGTGATTGACAGCTTCACAGAATATTAAGGGATACCCAAAGTAGATATAAAACACCGGTTCTACGCCCGGTGCCTCCTCCAGACCCTATACCGGGCCCGTAATAACGGCGACGTCATAGCTATTCTATAGGTGAGGTGCCGTGAGGTTTCGTAGGGGGAGGGGTGGTCAGCCATATCTATTTTTGAGTTGGCTGGATTGCACCATACCAACGCAATMGGGACGATCTATTTTTGAGATTTTACGTCAAAGTTTAATCCTAATAAAAGTTTCATAAAAATTAGTTTTTCTGTCTCAAAGCCTATTGTTAATGGTATAGACTCTTTTTACTTTATGCTTTTGTTTCACCCTAATTGAGTTCTACGAAGTTGACTTATGAAAGACAAACGATAAACCATAGATGACTTGCCCAAGGACCAACTTTTATTCATAAAACGCTCAATACATTTGAACTACAAAATAAGTTTACTTACAGCTCTTTTCATTATTTAACCAAGTATGATGTTTTGATTGTCAGATAATTGTTCAATAGAAACACCCGTCACTTGAAACAATAGATGACTATGTTCTGCATAATTGTCGAGTCAATCACACAAAATCCACCCCAATCTACACTAGAATCTGCACTAGATCTACTATCTACACTAGAATCTACACTAGAACCTATACTAGATCTACTATCTACACTAGAATCTACACTAGAACCTATACTAGATCTAC